CACTTTTATAATCAGAAAAACGAGTATATATTCCAACAATGGAGTTCCACCACCCAAGTGATATGAAAAACACTAGTGGAAAATATATTTCACGAGTACTACATATCACCGCGAATATCGCAATTTCACTTAATGTAAAACGGGTCGTGAAACTCCCACTGAATGAACGGTCCAGGCTTACCTTGAGTATCGATCGGCTCTCCCCCTCGAAGAGATCGCCGAACGACGGTAGGTCCGTGTCGACTGCAAGCACGGTCTGAAAGCTGTCGCATACACTACGGCTCATTAACGCGCGGGGAAACTACTTTGGAGGGGTCACCCTGTCTCCTTGCGATCACCTGCACTTGGCCATGTTTCGGAGCTTTCAGTAGAGTTTTGCTTACCTCTCCAGCAGTCCCGAAGGTGGCCTTGCCTAGCTGAAAGTTGCTGAAAATAACAACGACGACTGACGAAATCAAATGCATAATAGAAGGCGAACTGCGAGGAAGAAGTCAACACACCCTCAGGGAGATCGGACCCTGGATCCTCTCCACTACATAAACTATAACTGTTTTAAAGAACCATTCGCGGTTTAAAGATTATACTCCGACACGCATGGAGAGACTACTATCAGTTGGTGCTACAGCATTTCCCGGTCAGATTAATTTTCTAAAGGCAAATGTGATACAGTAATATAATACATTGGAGTTTCCCCCATTTCACGTGAAGTGGCGTAAAACTCGGTGAAAAACGCGATGTTCACACTATACAGTAGTCGTGAAACATGTTTCTCACTGGTGTTTTTCATATAACTGGTTAAACTCCATTACACCATAATTATGATCACTATATGTAGGCGTCGGGTCCCACCAGGGTATTGTAGCGCGAACTCCCCACGAAAATCCAGATGGAAATCAGTAGTGCTCGAAATCATCTACGTGTAGTTCCATCTCGGGCACGTTAATAGCGCACGGTTAGTAATGCTCGAATCGGCATCTGGAAGTCTCGTTCTATGAGATTTGTACTACTGTGGTGACTTCTGAATTCAACATGCGATGGGCTAGAGAGAAACACATGATCATCAATAGTAGTGTTTAGTTTCTGAAAGTTATACATTTCTGGATTAGTTATCAGTCGTTCTTTTTAGACCGCGCTCGCTGATGAAGTCATCATATAGAAGAACGCGCCTGAGAAGACAGCAGCGCCCAGTGGTTACCAACAAGGCAGTGCTGCGTGCTGACTATTTCCCCATACTAAGAGGTGACGATGACAATGATGTGAATCAAATCCGTTGAAAATGTTTCTCGCGTGTGACACCGTGTCACACACGTGTCACTGACACGAGTGGTGTTACGATGAGCCTTCGCATCCGAAAGCGGAGAACTACGCGAGCGCTTCAACAGTTGAACTCTTTTTCCTCACATTAGATATCATCATGAAAATCTGGGACTCCAGAAACAGAGTGTGGGAAATATGCGCAGCAGCCTCCACATCGTGTTGTGGGTGACAACATGAAAATTCTGAGAGGAAATTTTGGGGTGGAAAATCTTTTTTGTTTTCTGTACACTTTTATGTATATGAGTGCTGAGAATGCAACATATATTCCAACCTGCCCGTACGGGTTGGTCGTGTTACGCGCTACGTACAGGTGGCATGAGGGTGTGTGGAGTGTAAGTCCACGCTACGACAACACGCTTAGTACTCGTCCGACATAAGCTCACGAGGGATCAGTTTTAGCCGTCAAAATGTCTACTTTCATCTCGCCGATGAGTTTTGTCCACAGGGTGAGATAACCTCCGCCAGTGCACTTCCTTTCCTCTCGGCTAGCCTACACAAGCACTTGCCCGGGGCAAGTTGCCCCAGGGTGTTGACCACATGAGGGCGAACAGATCTTACTGCTCGTCATGCAGTTTCTGTTTCCGCCCCCCCGTGTTCTGATGAGGCTCCCAAGTTGGCATTGCCAACGTATGCAGGAGACAGTGAAGGTATAAAGTCAGAATCCTTGTGCATTGGCGCGAGTCTATTGAATATAGTGAATACTACAGTTTCTGGCACTAGGAGTAGTGATAATACTGTACATTCAGGCCTGTCTGGTTGCTTGTAATAAAACCTGTGATAGCTTGGTTCAACAGTAACTGTTGAATTGTCCTTGTGTGCTTAGAATTAGCATAGATAGTTATGTGGTGCGATATTCAATTGATGCACTCTGGCTGTTACAGTTGGAGTGGTAAGCGTTGTAAAATACGTGCCCACTCACTTCAATCAACAACACAAGCCTTGAGCGCCTCAGAAAACGCTTGAGAGACCTCCTGCAACGTGATGGTCTTGTCTTGCCTTCACATCGTTGACAACAGCATCGCTTCCTGGCGCCAGTTTCAACATCTGATGTAATCAATGACACTTAGCTGAGCTCAGGAGTTTCCCCTAATACATTCACACACGACTTTGGAAAAAAACGACAAAAAATCCCAAAATTTTTCATCGTCAACAACTTTGTGATTTTCTTACTTATATAGGAACATATGCGACAATCACTCCCAGCAGAGATGTGGCGTACTGTCTATATATAGATAATGCGAAGACGTACCGCGCGCGCCACAATGATCGATGAACAGCAATAGAAGATATTTTATCGACTGTATAATAACACCTATACAGTGTTGGAGGAATATATATTTTTGCTCTCCTTAGCTGAGCTCAGGAGTTTCCTCACTAATTATAGTATGCGGGTAGAAGTGTACAGAAAACAACAATGATTTCCCAAAATTTCCTCTCAGAATTTTCATATTGTCACCAACACATGTAGCGCACATTTTCCCACACTGCACATGTCACTATAGATGGGCACTCACATTTACGGTTACGTAAAATTACGGCGCCGCAACGGCTCTCACGAGGATATAGAATTCCAGCTCAAGCAGCTCAGCACCAACCGTTAAATCGCAAGACATTTCCGTAAATATAAAGCACATTCTCATGGGCGCAAAAAACACTACGCTGCAAATCTCTACAGCATTTCCCGGTCAAATTTAATTTTTTACCCATTTGGTTAATGTTGACAAAAAAATTAAAAGAAAATTAAAAGAAAGTTAAAAGAAAATTAAATTTGTCGGTAAAAAATTACCCAAAAATTTCCAAAAATTTCCAAAAATTTCCAAAAAATTCCTAAGTTCCAAAAATTTGACCGGGAAATGCTGTAGTTGTAACTCACCAGATCACTCCAGCTCGCTCGAACTGAATCGCAGAGATCGAATACCTCCATACGACAAGCTTCACGATTGTGCTGAGTCTTCCAGCATTGCTGAATAGAAACAGTCGATGTTGGTAGGAGTTGTATACTGTACGCCTTCAAACGACATATGATGCATTTTTTTTGCTCGCCGAATTGAGCAAGCTATTACAGTGTAAAACTAAAGGCGTCTTTACTTCAACATAAACGCCGTAAGGCGTTCGATTCGATTTAATTCCACGGATATAAAACTCAAAAGAGACGTGTTGAACATCATTATCAGCTCACCTGTAATCGTTGAAATTTGTCAGGAACGATATTTTTACAATAACAAGAAAAGTCCAGACCTTTGCCGTCGTCGTGCAGACATCTGCCAGTCACTATGCTGAACAAGGGAAAGCACTCTCGATAGATGACGCTAGACTTCAATGCACAGATCTCAGGGGTAGTATAATACAGATTACTATCACTCTGATAGGATCATCAGAACAAAAAACTTTTCGGAAAAGTATATGCTTGCACTCACAGGATAAAAGTATATCAGTTGAGTTTCACCACCCTGGTGATATGGAAAACATATTTTACGACTACTACAAGCCGCGAATATCGCGTTTTTCACCGAGTTTTACGCCGCCACTTCACGTAAAACGGATGGTAAAACTCCAATGAAATAGATCCAATTTTCAGCGGCTGCATTATCACTCGCTTGGATCGGTTTTTGACAAGCCCGATGGGACCAAAGTAGGAAGAACTTGGTACAGTATTGGAGAAAAATATAAGCCTTTAATCGTAAGACTGATTTTTTTGGGAAATATAAATTCTATTTTCAGCTCGATTTCACACTAGGACTCAGACCATGGCGGCGATCGGTTCGAACCTCTCCCAAACGATAATGGTGAGGAGCGATAGCACTGATGGTCCTAGGTAGGCTGATCGATGATCAGTTGAACCACTACTATAACTATAGACTACGAAATGCTTCTGGAGGGCTTGTTATT